CAATGACTCATATAATCATTAGTCTCTGAGAGAGAGAGAGAGAGAGAGAGAGAGAGCGAGAGAGAGAGCGAGAGAGAAGAGAGAGAGAGTTAACGAGAGTCGGGAGAGAGAGAGAGACTTTACTTTCAAACATAAACTGTAATCAAGACTTAAAACAAAACAACAAAAAAGTTTTTTAGACATTAAGACTGAAAGTGAAGTTCAAAACGTACTGTAATTATAAAATCAAAACACTTTTACGACATTTGAAAAAGTTTTTCAAATAATTTTCACGCATTTATAATCAATAAAAATAATTATCAGTTAAATATTATACTTACAGTTAAAAGTTTTTGTTGAAAAAATATATCCAGGGATAAAATATTAGTCCACAAAAGTATTCGCACGTTTTCAAACACTTTTGAGTAAAAAAGTTTTTATTTAATATCCAAACAATTGGTTAATTGAATGAAAAAAAAGTTGTGTTTGTATTACAAAAAAATTATTTCATAATATAAAACACACCAAAAGTTTTTTAATACAAAAAAGTTTTTGTATTCAATATATTTCAATGCATTCACGCATTCACTGAACTTGAAATCCAAAAGCAATGTTAATTCAATGGGCATTCAAACAGACACATTGAGAGGGGACAGGGAGTTCAACAAACAGCACCAGTAAGTTGTGTGTGTGCTGTGCGCTAACACGGCTAACATCGACTAAACTGTAGTTCCCTTTCGCATGCATTCAATGCATTGGCAATCGTGAGGGGAACTGGTGGTGTGACTCAGCGCATACTCCCTGTCCCCTTCCCATAGGTTTAACATGTGAGTTCAGTTATGGTACCCGTAGTGACACCTATTGTATGAAAAACTACAACTTTTCTCAAATATTCATATAAAACGTTAAGTTATTTGGTGTTATGTTAAATTATAATTATCTAGGTTATATATACGAGCACAGTTTTATAATTAATAAAAATAAAGTTAAATTTAAGTATTTATTAATAAAATCTACTTGATACAATTTATTAACCTATGGAAATTAGATTAAATCTTATTTATTATTTAAATTTATCATGCACGTTATTTATAATATCCATAGATACAGTGTACACTCGATATAATAAACATATAGTTTTATCAACTTATTTTGCATAAAATTAACCAGGTATAGTGACTACTAAATACAAATTAAAATCATAATACTAAATCAAAAGTCTAACCAAGCACAAAACTTTGTTAAATAACTTTATACACACACTATAACAGTTACATATAACGAGTACCTAGCTCACAGTCAGCTGACTCTCACATGTGTTACAAATAATTGTCAATAAAATCCGTGAAGTTTTAGTCAATAAATTGAAACTTATTTCACCGATAATTAGCGCTAAATGTTTGCCCGCATTGGCGGCCAATGATAGCGCTCGCGAACCGCCGGTTAGTGGCCGCCAATGAGTGGCTACTCGGGCGGCACAGACGCCACTCGATCGCCGTTTGCCGTCAAACGCACCGCAAGTCCTCCGCCGACGACTCGGAAACCCACGTGACGTTCAGCAATGGGTTTGTATTAAAAACTTTATTTTACGCCCCCTTTAGCCCCCTTTCCGTACCTTAACCGCCCATAAAGTAGCCATAGCTACCTGTCCACTAATCTACTAAATACTCTAATATGTACTAATATGTATCAAACATACCCTCCCAATGGTTACACCACTCGTAATAAGGGACTGGTATATGATTTAAAAGTTTTAAACCCCCCCTATAGGCCCCCTAACATACTGTACCCCCATAAAGTAGCCGTAACTACCTGTCCACTACACAAAAGTTTATAAACTTTGCCAAACATACCCTTCCCCCGGTGAATAACACCTAAAATATATACCATTTATTGAGTTTTACTAACTTTTGCTACCTTTCCCTCCCAACCCCCCTTCTATAGCCGGACAATGCGTATATCGACGGGTCGATTGGCACGTATGGCCGACGGGTCGGCAGTGGTGGGCGCGGGCGACACCTCCGTAATGGTGACGGCCGTACACCGGCCCACCCCTAAGAGCGCCTACAGTTCGTTCGTACCGTTAACTGTGGACTACCGGCACAAGTACTCCGCGGCCGGTCGTATACCCGTGAACCGCATGCGCCGGGAGGTGGGGGCGCCCACTGAGCGCGAGATTCTCACCGCCCGTATCATCGATAGGTCGGTGCGACCGGTGTTCCCGAAGGGCTATAACTTCGAGACACAACTGGTGTGTAATCTACTGGCGGTCGATGGGGTCAACGATCCGGATGTGTTGGCAGTGAACTCGGCGTCGGCGGCGCTCACCCTATCGCCCATACCCTGGGAGGGCCCGGTAGGCGCTGTTCGGGTGGCCCTCACACGTGATAATCACGTGATTACGTGTCCGACGAGACGGGAGATGTCGGAGGCGGCGCTCAATTGTGTGGTCACGTGTACGGCCGGGGGACAGGTGCTGATGTTGGAGGCCTTCGCCAATGAGCCGGTGCTCGAGCCCGGGCTGCTTAAGACGATTGGACGGGCGGTTAGGGAGTGCCGGGCGGTGACAGACGTGATCGCGAGGTTACGAGAAACCGATGGAAAGCCTAAGAGGGATATCACGGATACCGTGAGTGCGGTGACGGATGAGCACTTCCAGGCTGTCAAACAGTATGTAGTTTTTGGGGACAGTTATGTCGGTTAGTGTTATGGATTAATGGTTAATTATAGTGCCCTGGTAATTGGTGGTAGAGTTTAGGCTATGATTAGTTTGTGTAGTGTTTAATTAGATATCAATTTGATTAATAGTTTTATATTACATTAATTTGTTCAGTTTAATTATGTTCAGGGTTAATAATTTTGTTTTATACCTAGCGCAATTAATTAATAAGCTAGTTTATTAATTGTACTTTTTATTGTGTATTCAGTTACGGTAATACGTTTACTTAATCACTAGCGTAAGTGTACTGGGTACTATAAAACTAATAATCCATACACTAATCGCAAAACTAATTTAAAAACTTGCCCTGATTCTAATCACATGTCTCTCACACTAATACCCAGATTAATATACCCGGGAATCCGACACGTATTCCAGGACTACAGTCACGACAAGTTCTCCAGGGATGCCGCCATACAAGCGGTCATAGCCTCGGCCATGGATCAGCTCCGGGAGCAGTTCGGTGCCGACTGCGAACCCATACTCTCGGACGCCATTCACTCATGCATTAAACACGTATACGCGGAACTGGTGGTCGACTCCTCCATACCCACCAAACGGTGCGACGGGAGGCTCACCTCAGAGCTGCGACCCATCACCTGTCAGACCGACCTATTCAAGCCCCTACACGGCTCGGCCCTATTCCAGAGGGGCCAGACGCAGGTGCTCTGCTCCCTGACCCTGGACTCGGCGGACAGCGCCTACCGTTCCGATCCATTCTCAGCGCTAACCGGTGGGCTCCTGGAGAAGAACTTTATGCTACACTACGAGTTCCCGCAGTACGCCACGAACAGCACCGGGAGCTCGAGTGTGGGGCGCCGGGAG